CAGAAGCACAGCTGACATGCAATTCAGGTCCCTAGTGATAGCATTAGCTAATGTAAATGCTTACCATAGGCACACAAAGCTATGATCAAGATCCTTCCTGTTTTCAGCAGGAATAGGAAACATAGGACAAGATCAACTCTGGTCTCTGAGAGACCCAGAACAGGAGAGGAATGGCATGTATTAATTGTAGTGATCAACATGGCTCCCTGATGAACGGAGATGGTCAAAAACCTTCAAAGAAAAGCAGAAATTACAATTCTGCCTTCATGGAAATATTAACTCTCTTCCAACTGTTCTCATCAAGTCTGGACATGTATCACACCACATAGGTGGTTGCACAGGAGGGAGCTATCTCATTCTGTGTGGAGATCATGTCTGCCCACATTTGGATGTTGCAAGAGCTTGCCTTCTTCCCTGCATTGCCCTGAAACAGTTGATCTCAACCACAAAGTAGACAAGGCAGTGTCTCTAATTCATGAGATTATTAAGATCTGTCCTTTGAAAACTACCTGAATGTTTAATCTTGGGTCCTGTGTTTGAATAATAAGGTCATTATTCTAGGAGAAATACTGTTTATGTCTTCTTCCAGGAAAAATGACACCCCCATCTGGTAATGGGGAACTGGTAGTGAAGATGGCCATGTTGTTTTGGCACCTACAACAAAGAGGTGAGGATGGGCTGTGTTTTTTATGTCTCAGAAAACCCAGATTTTTTCAGTTGCCAATCACAGACATGTACTGGGAACATGATTCCCAGGACAAGCTGGAGGGAAAGCAAACTTTTAAACACCTCTTAGAGACGACTTCTTTCTGTATCTACAAATATGGCCTCTTCCCAGCTTCCCATTTTGATCCTAGAGCTGCTACATGACACGTGTCCACCAGAGGGCATGTGGGACATTTTCTCCTCCTGTGCACAAAAAGGTAAAGAACAGTTTCCAAAGCAAGTGCCCTTCCAAAATGGGATCCTGCACTGGCTGCTTTGGCCATTGCACTTGCAATGTTGAGGAATGGTGCTTGGGCAACTGAGCTGCCAGCAGTAGGGCTGATGTGACTGAGCCACTACTGCAGTGTGCAGAGCTGTTTCAGTTCTGCCTGCATGAAGGGTTAAATGTAAGTCTGTATGGTGCCATGACTTCATGGTTCCCTGACTTGCATTTCAGACCCCTGTGTGCACACACGTGTGTACATCCGTGAGAGAGAAACACATGTGTGCACATGCACATACCCACACTGGCCACAGAAGAAGCTGTATCCACACAGGCCCACTCTATAGCTTGCAAAGTAAATTAGTCTTAAATGACTCTTTGGAAACAAAATAAATCAAATAGCATAATAGTACCATCTTTTTATCTCATTTGTTCCCATACAATTAGTAGTTTTACTGCCATGTTGTGACAGGTGACTGTGTTTGACCTTTGCCGCTTGGGTGGTTGGCTGGTGCTCAAACTAATGAAGACCCTTAATGGATTGGCTTTTGTGAGGCTGTGAGCGGTGGGGTTAAAGAGAAAATGGTGCCTTAGACAGAGTCCAGAGAAGATCCTTCAATTAAACCTGAAGTCTATTAGCAAAGAAATATTGAGGAGGTTGAGAGTTAGCAATGATTTAACCAGCAAGTCTTCCTTGTGAGTCATTTAAAAAAAAAAAAAAAAGAAAGAAAGAAAAGAAAAAAAGAATCTCTCTGGTTATTTATTGTTGAGTGTGTGGTTGGACTCCCACCCTTATATGTGAGAGGGTGAGAGGGTGAGAGGAGAGGCATTGGCTTGGAGAGGCTGGGGCTACAGGGCCTGAGTCCAAAGTTTGTTAGCCCCTTAACTCCCACACAGCCGAGCTTTCCTTGGACAAAAAAGTGAGGAAAAATGAAACAGTGGCAGGAAAAAAAGGAAGAGTGGTTCTGGGGAAGATAAAACCAGATCTCTGGGATAAATACAATTTTCTGGAACTTAATTGTTTTTCATTACGTAAATAAATTACAATGAAAGAAAAGGAGAACTGTCAGCTTCTGGGAAATGAGTCAGAGGGCAGAGCTGAGCTGTAGAGTGTGAGTAATAAACAGGAGTGGAGGGAGGTTGATGAAGAAGCTTGTGCAGGACAAGCAGGATCTATCCAGAACAGCACAAAGGGATACAATAAGCAGTGATGGGTGTGAGGGGCAAGTCCCTTTCTGTTAGCTTCCAGGTCAGAACCTGAGCATTTCCCATTCCCCCCAGACAGACTTCCTTTTGTTTCTAAGACTTCCTTAATTTTCAGCCTGAGCTGAAAAATCATCTTGCAGCAGTGTTCATGGTCTTGAGCAGAGCTGGGGCTGCCTCTGGTCCTCACCAGTCCTTTGGGTGATATATGTCCCACAGTTGAGAGGAGGGAGGTGAAAACAATCTGCTAAGAGAAAGCTTGAAGCTGATTGTTCTGGGTAGAGGGACCTGTCACAGAATCACAGAGTATGCTGAGTTGGAAGGGACCTACAAGGATCCCCAAGTCCAACTTCTGGCCCTGCACAGGACACCCCAAGAGTCACACCACGGGCTAGAGAATGTTGTCCAAATACTTTCTGAACGCTGTCAGGCTGGTGCTGTCACCACTCTCCTGTTCCAGTACCTGACCACCATCTGGGGGAAGAACCTTTTTCTAATATCCAAACTAAATCTCCCTTGACTCAACTTCAGGACATTGCCTTGGATCCTGTCACTGGTCACCACAGAGCAGAGATCAATGGGATCAGACCCACAGCCCCTCAACCCCATGCCTGTGCATTGCCCACAACATGTGAACATCGGCCTGCTTGCCCCAGCATGCTCCAGGCATTTCCAACACTCTCCTCCCCAGGGCTTCTGTTCCCTCCTGGGCACCCTCCGGCTGCCATGGAGAAGATCCTAAGGCAGAGGTCAATATCTGCCCCTACCCTTCCCCTCCAGAGGAAGTTGTAACTGCACTGAGGCCTCCCCTCAGTCTCCTCTTGTCCAGGTTGAACAGCCCAAGTGACCACAGCTATGGCTTCATCTCGAGACCCTTCACCAGCTTTGTTTCTTTCCTTTGGACACTTTCTAATAGCTTAATGCCTATCTTACATTGCAGTGACCAAAACTGCCCACAATATTCAAGGTGAGGCTGCACCAGTGCAGAGCAGAGGGAGACAATCACCTCCCTTGACTGCAACCTATTCTGGCTATTGGGAAAAAGGGTGCTTTCACCTGCTCCAAAGGTCCTTAGGCACTATAGCAAGCCCTCACAGCTGGACTTAAGAATTGTCCAAGTCTTCATTCCTCCCTTATCTATCTATCTATCTATCTATCTATCTATCTATCTATCTATCTATCTATCTATCTATCTAATATTTCACTCTTTCCTCACAGAGAAACTCCTTCCCTGCAGTTATGCAGTCTCTCTTCTTCTCTTTTTCTTTTCTCTCACTCTTAGACATGTGGCTCCCCCCTCCTATATCCCCCTACTTTGGGGATAATTTAACATGTTACACACTAACTTTCCAGTAATGGCACTCTGGCTTTTTGAAATTCTGCTTCCCTGTTTTATGGCTGGGCGTCTAATGGTTATCTCGCAGCCCTGCCTCTGGCAATCATGTAAGGAATAAATAGAAGCTGACACAGTAATTTACTTAAATCTTCTCCACACTTTTGCAGCATTTTCCTCCAGAGGATACCCCCGAAACAACAATTATTTGAAATGTCATGCGTTCCTGCCCCTAGGCTACCGACAAATGAACATTAAATCTATTAACAACAAAAAAAATTAAATGTTTACTTTTCTGCGAAGGTAAAGGAGAAGCTGGAGAGAGGGAAGGATGTCTCCAATAAATTTCTTCTCAATAATAAAGAGGTGTAGTTAATGTTCTCTCTAAGCACAGTCAGCTTGCAGCCCACATCCTATGAGGACAGAGATGTGATGCCACAGTACTACCACGCAGCCTTGCCAGGGCAGCTCCAATAGCTTCATTTTTCCAGGCCAGGGAGCTCAGTTTTAGGTTGGTATTTTTGCAGATTAAGTAAGATGTGAAGAGGGCCAGAAGCTATGAACAAGGTGGTCACAGTTCTCAACTTCTCTGGCTGGTGGTGCATGCCATGGGGACTGAGGTGATGGGAGAGGAAGCATTACCCCCTTGGCAAAAGTAGGCTAAGAATATAGCTCATCTGCTTCACAGAAAGGAAAACGGAGCATTTTGGAACTCTCTCCCTACATCTTGTTGAAAATCTAAACCAGAGGTGAGGCTCAGCTCCTCCTCTTTTCTGTTCTATGCTCCCACCTCTTTGTTCAGGTTTCCTGAACACAGGTAAGCATAGGTATGGAGGGTGGGACCACATGAAGGTGGACTCAGCCCTGCACATGGGTCCTGGTGGAATATGGTGTGAATATGGAAAGTCACTGGCATCCACTTGCTGGGGATGAAAGTTCCCATGGGGATCTGAGCAAAACAGACTTAGGGACCAAGCTTAAAGCTCAGGAACCTATTTTCCATTGTGCAGATGGGGAAATTCAGATCTAAAGCAGGTAACAGAATACAGTAGCTGAAACAGACAAAATACCCCAGCTTTACTCTGATTGCTTCATACTGTCATAAAAAGACTGTCCCAGTGCTTAAACTTTCCAATATATGGCTATTTCAGAAAATGTTCCTTGTCTGTTGATTCAGCATGAGACTGTCTTGGGAACCACTGTGTTTATATAGCCAGGAATCCATCCCTTTGACTTGTAAATCCTCTGTCTGTTCAGAGTTTTGGGATTTAAAAAAACCAGCAGGACTTCTTGACTTTTTGTGAATGAACTTCTGAAGGAAAATTTCTCACCTGATGTTGAATGATGTTGAATGCTGCAAACCCCATTGAAACATTTGCTTCTCTGTGCTTCATTTTCCCTTCTTTTTAGCAGAAGAAGCTTGGACATAGACCACAAGCACCTTGGAAAGAATGGCACCTCTGACATGTTGTCTGAACCAACTGTGATGGGGAGTGTGAACAGGCACCTGCTATCTGTCTTTAGAAGAGGACACACAGACAGTGGAGAAGATATCCAGTGTTCAAGTCCCAGTGGAGTTTACTGGCTCAATCCTAATCCATTTTCTCACTGCTGTCCCAGCCTACCTGCTAAAGGTGGTTCATGGTATGTGGATGCTCAGTCAGCACCTGTGGTGCTGGACTGCTGTTGAACTGAGACCACTGTTTATCAGTGGGAGATGATGTCTGCTTGGAGAAGACCCTCCAAGGTAGTTCCTAGAGTCCTGTGACACAGGGCAGGGTAGTTTATACAGCCAGATCATTCAGAGGTGAGACAGGGCCTCTGAGTCCCATAGATCCCCTTGACATTTTGTTTCTACCTGCTGTGATTGTTTAAGGAATAAGAAAAAAAGATCATCTTCCAAGTGTGGGGGGTGTGTGTGTGTCCAGAAGGAATGAGCTGACTCTCTACTAACAATCCTTTGACATCCCAGTGTTTACCAGAAGAGGAACTAGTTCATTCAAAGAATCAGACTTTAGCTCTAGAGGAACAACTGCTTTGGGCTCTTCTCAGGCCTGACACAAATACTTTGCCTGTTGTCCTGTACTGCTGTGACTGCAGAGAGTGTGTGTCCTTTCTCATCCAGAGAGAAGGGGTTGTGTGGGGCCTTTGTGGCTATTTCCCATTTACCTTCTGAAAGGTTCTATCCATTTGATAGAAAGGGTTGTCTGCTCCACTCCAGATCCAGCTAAGTGCCTGAAGTTTAATGATACATGAAGAGAAAGGTAGATGCTACATCTGTGATCAGTCAGCTCTACAACATGTATACTCCATACTGGAAACTATACAGCTCATGATATACAAAGCACAGGCTTTTCCCTTGGTCTTAATGCAGATATCAAAGTACACCTGTAGACTCTGGGGTACAACCTGCAGGTGAATTCTGTCTCAGTACTGCAGTGGATTGATTTAAATGGTTCCACTTCCAGACAAAAGTCTAAGCACCACAGCAGGTTTATGGGTTAACCTAATACAAAGAAACACAATTATCTGGTCTAATATATTAGGAGGGACTCTTAGATACATGTAGTACCAACATAAGTCAGTGTCTGCCATTATAAATTGCAGGCCCTCCAAATGCATGTTATTGCTGAAAAAAAGGAAAAAAACCAGGAACCTGGGAGTAGCATTCATCAAACTACTTTGCATTATTAAACTTCCTCCCGTAATGTCTCCACTTTGATCCCTTCTCTGGCCAGATTCACATCTCAGCTCCTGATTTCCACCAAGGAAAGTGTATAGGGAAGCTGTGTGCCTGCAGTTTTCTTTTTCTAAGCTTTGTAGCGCGTTCTTGTGCTCTCAATTCCGGATAATGCTGGACTCCTTTTATCCAGCCCCTCCTCTTGCCCTTTCAAGTGAAAAGAAGACTCCTGTGCCCCCCCATCAAAGTTAAAGGGAGGCTTTAGGGAGGAAGGCTCAGCACGCTGGGGCTCTTGAGCCTGTGTTTAATCTCTTTCCCCGTTCCTGTGTGCCTCTGTGGCTTCCCTGCCAGTTTCTTTGTTGCCAAGTTTCTCATTTCCTTTTATTTGTGTGTGCGGGAGGTTGCCAGGCTCTCTGGAATGCATCTGAAGTCATCTGGTGGGGACACGCCTCAGCCGCGGCCCGGGTGATCCCTGAGCGGGCAGGCCGGAGCGGCCTCACCCGGCCGCAGGAGCCGGGCCGGCACAGATCCACAGCCTGCAGCCGGTGGGTTCAGTGCCGTGAGGGCGGAGGGCAGGGAAAAGGGACTGAGAGAGACCTCTGGGTGCTGCCCTGCCGGGAGCAGAGCGGATCCATGTACAGACCTTGGCAAGGGATGGGCCCTGCTCTGCCTCAGCTCCTGCCTCACCTCGGCTGACCTCGGGGCAGTGCCCTGACTCTTGGCCACGGCTGCCCTGCTCCATCAAGTGGTGCTGGCCTGAAGGTGTGGCCTTCAGCTGGATCTGGGACGTGTTCCCAGGATCAATATGGGCTTCATTACGCTCCCGAGGGAGAGAACTGGAATCATGCTGACAAAGTGGGGGGACTCTGAATATTGCTCCAGAGCTGGGCATAACTCTGAGGAATGCATTGATCTTAACAAGTGACAAAAAATGCCAAGTTTGTGTTCACGCTGCCATCCCTTCATCATGAAGGCACTTCAGTGGACAACCCATCTCACTTGACAACCCCAACATGGAAAGAGGATGTCCTGGGTGGAATGAGACATGGCAGGAGCACAAACTCACTGCTCCAGTTTTGTCTCAGCTTTCCTTATGCCTCAGCCCTCCCCCCAGAATGAAGCAGGTGGCATTGCCAAGATTTTCATCCCTCTTAGGCCATATGAATCCAGTTTGGCACATGGGGTTACCATTCATTTCTCTCTGAAGCAGAATTGGGGAGCTGTAACTCCAACAGCATCCCTAAAGTCCATGTTAGCAGCCTATTTGCTAGGCTGTGGAAATCAAAGAACAGGTAAAAGGATGAGACTGCCCAAAACATAGGCATCTTGGGGACTGCTATGCTTTTTTGTGACTGCTTCACAGCTTCCGAAAGTTCCCAAGTTTTGTACTTTACAAGGTGGATATCTGTTGGTCCAGCTCTTTACACTAGAAAGGAACAATCTCATTCAGGTTTCTTGGTCCTTGTTGAGTTTCACCTGAATTCCTGGTAAATTTCAGCAAAGGTATCTACCCTTGGTAAAGGTTTTTGTACATTTCCAGGCGTTAACCAGCCTGAGCTGTCTCTCCTGCAACCTCCAGCCATGGGCCCAAGGCTTATTTAAGCTTGTCCATGGGCCTTCAGCCTCTGACTGTGTAATGTTGGCCGAGTGGCTTTTGGTGGCTCAGCCACTGTCATACCCACTATGGGTCTTGTTAATCCAGATGCCAAATTATGCACTGACTTCTCAGCTTGACCTTGGTTCTGCCCTGTGGTCTGTGACATGCTGAAAACAGAAGTTACTAGAGGAATTTCCAGTAGAAAGGGTAGCAAAGATGTTTTTGCTTAGGATGGTTCTGGGGTGCCTGGAAGCAGCAGGTTGCTGTGCAACAATCCGCAGCAGTCCTGGCTGGCCTGTACCATGGTGCAGTGCTCAGAACACTCAAGTTTTGGTGTTACTTTCTGCTCATGGGTACTGAGGGCAACAGTTGTGCCAAGAGCCTTGTCCTGGCTCAAAGGTTTCAGCACTTCTGTGGGTGAGTGGTCATTGCGGTACTTCACAGACCAGAGCTGCTGGGCTCACAGACGCTCTGGCAAACAGTCAGCACATCACTGCCCAGTATCTGCCAGATCTCCCTGCTGCATTGCTCCTGGGACATTTGTACTGCCATTGTCTCGGCTTCCTTTGGACAAGCCCATGGGGTTGTGCAACTCCGCATTTGTGCAGTGTCCACCTGGATGTAATTGTCTTGGCTTTGCACCTAGAACAGTCTGCCAATCTGCAACCCTGAAACTCCTGCAGGAGACCAGGAGATTGCATCACATATCAAGGAAAAGACTGACTGATAAATATATTGCAATAAGCAAAAAATGGCCACTTGCTGTAAATACTCTTCTATGTTTTGTTTTGGTGCTGCTATTTCAACCTAGTTGTTTAAATATCTTTGCAGAGAGGCTTCCATACTTGAATTTTTTTTCAAGGTACTTCCTTGCTGTACATCTGGCAGTTCCTGAATTGCTTTTATGGAGGATTTCTCTGAAATTTCCAATACTTCTAAAAATTAAAAATGTGGTTTTTTTATTAAATTAATTTTTTAAAATTTAAATTTTTAAATTTATTTAATTTTATTAAATTAATTAAGATATTGTAAAGAGAGCTTCTGATAAAGCCAATGTCTTTTTCAAGTGTTAAGCACACTTTTATTCTAGAATATTTCAAGAAATCTAGTCTTTGCTATATCCCATTTTTGTTTTATCTTCCTTTATCAACATCAGATCGTTTCTTTCTTGGTTTTCTTCACCAGGATGAGTTGCTGTAGGATGGCAGAGCAGAAGGAAAGCACATCATCTAACCACTCTGATTCTCCCCTGCTGCTGCTTGGCATCCACACATACTGTGTATTGCAAGAGAAAAGCAGGACCTGGAAGCAATCTGCTGAGGGTTTCAGATTCTCTGTTCCTCTCTTCCAGTCCATTAGGTCAGAAAGAGAATGACTATCAACAAGTGTTTCATCTGGAAGCATAGCCCTGGGATTTCCCTAGATTTTTACCCCAGCTTGAATTTAAGACCAGTTTCCAGCTATCAGTCATTCTTGACTGAACTTATATTCTGATTTTCCAGAGCTGATTTCCACTGCCTGCTTCCTGCTCCCCTTATAACGCCTCCTTTGCATTTGGGGTGTGGTTTGTCAGGTCCCAGTACAGGAGATGTTCCCACTTGTGCTGGGTACTGCTGCATGGACACAACATGGCTCTAAACTATGATACAGTTATTGCTTGAAAAGCAAGGAGTTTTTTGCAGGGAATTGGCCTGAAACTGCTTCTGATCAACATTTTAGAGACAGTGACAATAAAATGAAAAACTGCCAGAGAGGATGCAAACTGGAAGAAGGTTGCTAGTTCTTTGGAGATCAAGGTTGCTACTCAAAACATTTCAGTTGGTATGCTGGAGAAATAAACTAAATTTAGGTGAGTAATGAGTGCTCAATAGATGCAAATGCCTAGAGGGGAGGGCAGATCTCAGACCGAGTGGGAGTTAGTAATGTTGAACCCTTGCAGTAAGAAAATGTTTGGGTTTGCTTTTTATCAATGCCAGGGTCACTGCTGAGACACGAGAGGTCCCAGCAGCTCTCTGGCTGCTGCAGTGGAATCTTGTGTCGTGCTGAAGGCTGCCACAGAGCTGGAAACCACAGCCTGTGAGGAAAGGTTAAGGAACTGGTTTATGTGAAAGTAGAGAGGACTATGGGTGAAAAAATGCTCAGTTTCTCAGTGTACAAATAAATGATACCAAGAAACTGGTAAACTAATTTTCTGTGCCTACCTGCAGAAAGAAACAGAAAGAAACAAGTATCCCTGGAATGGAGGGAGGTGATGTAGTAAAAGCCTTTGCTAAGTCATGGAGCAGAGAAGCACCAGCAGAGATCACCATGCAGCTGCTGGGATCTTGGCTGGAGGTGCTGCAGAACATACCTCAGACAGGGAAGGGCTGGATGTGTCTGTCTCAACAAGAATGTACTAGGGTCATTATATCGCTTTTCCCAGCCTACATTTATACATTTCTCTCTATTCTTTTCTTCTTCCTGAAAGCTGGCAGGGCAGTGGGAACTTCAAAGGAATTTGTACTTTGAGGTTTTTCCTTTTTCCCCATGGAAAACCTCCAGAATCAATGAAAACATATAGCATATGCTATGTATTCCCCCAAGAGAAAGCAATGCAGCAAGCTATTGGATACAAAATGCTTTGAAATTTCCTGTCTGGGATGTAATTGATTATCAAACAACAGTTATACTGTGCAACAGAGATCATAGCTCCTCTTTGGTGCTGGCAAAATTAAGGATTAAACCTGCACCTCCTAGAGGAGGGACACTTTGAGGCAGGTGTCCCTTGCAGAGAGCTAGTAAACACATGATGCTGTCACCAGCCACCACCTCCTGGTGTTCCAGCCCAGGCCACTGGCAGCTCAGAGCTCTCCCTCTCTCCCTGCAACCCTGGAATGTGCATGGCTCGTTAGCAGCAGCCTGGCAATCCAGAGAGCCTGCTATGGCAGCAGCTGCTTTTCCAGAGCTGTCCCACACGCCGTGAGCCCAGAAGCTGTTTGCCAAGGTGAGGTGCTCCCTGCAGCTGCCTGAGAGGGAGCCTGTGGGACAGGGGGTAGGTCCTCACCAAAAGCAACCAGCTGGAGCAAAGTTTGCTTCCTTGCAAAGTGCTTCCACCTTGCAGTCCTGCCTGCCCAGCTAGTCACCCTGCTCCCTGATGTGTATGCAGCCAAGTGCCAGGGAGCAGATGGAGGAAGTACCATCTGGCTTCTACCGAGCTCATTCCCAGGCTGGAGCTGGGGAGCTGCTGGAACAAAGGATGGCATTGCTTGGGAGTGCCTGGACTAGAGAGTTTGTGAGTACTGTAGGAGCCTTAAGCTTGCTTCTTTTGTGCTCATTGGTTTTCCAGGAGCAGGTTTCCCAAGCTGCAGCTTTCATGCATGTTCCCTGATAGCTGAGCAGTGGGCTCCAGCCACTTTCCCTGTCTGGGGGACTTCTGCTGGACTCATGGAAACCACAATGCATTTTTCCTCTCCTCAGTCCGCACTGCTGCCCTTGTGGTAGGACCACATGGGCCACACTCATGGGTTGGATGCCCCGGATTTCTTTCACATGGCTGATACAGCCAGATGCTGTGGTGCTGGGTGAGATTTTCCTCGTTCAGGTTCTGCTTTGTTCTGTGCTAACTCCACACAGCTGGGCTGTGTGGGGCTAGTCACCAGGGAAAAGAGGCTGGCAGAGATGAATAGAGGATGTGAACAGTTCCCTTGGTGCCCTTTTCCCTCACTCTTGTTTCCCTCTCAGCAGGGGGAAGCAGTCTCTGCGTGGTCCTCTGCCGATTGCATCGGGAAAGTCATTAAAAAGAATTAAAAAGGAAACAGAAAGAGATGGAAGAGGGGGAAAAAAAAAAACCCTACACAGCCCCAAACATTTATAAACTTGAACAAAAGAACAACAGGATCTCTCTGCTCAAAGCCCTGGGCCACCTTCACCTTGACTGCAAAGGACTCCAGTGATGTACTGGGAGAATGGAAGAAAGCCTTGACTGTATTTCTGCTGGGATGGTGGTGATATGGTCACCACCATGGCAGGACTGGTTGTGAAAGCTGTCATCTGATTGTTCAGATGGGGAAAAATATATATATATATATATATATACAGAATGAAATTAATTACACATGGTTGACTCATCCATCTTCTGAAATTGGGTGTGGCTTGGTATCCTGGTTTTTGGAAAGGGAACAATATGTGAGATACCATCCTGGGGGGCAGTGTCTGTCCTCCATTTTGCTGTAGGAAAGTATCAGTGTCTGTTAGAAACTGTTCTGGGGAGCAAAAGAATGGGATGGAGCACCTGGTTCCTCCTGTCCTGTCTCCCAGGAGGATCTGTCTTCCAAGGTTATGGTGTTGTGACTGGTCTGGGAAGATCTGGTTTATAATCCAAATTTGGTACCATAATGGTTTTCCCCAAATAGTTGCTTAAATTTTAAGTCTGTATTGAGATATAGAAGTCTAGGCTCTTTCAGAGGCCAGCCACTCATTTGTTCTGAATCATGACTAGACATGGCAAATCACCTTTAAAGGGCTTGATATTTGAGTTCTGGATGAGTGCTTGCAACCTGGAGCCTGTAAAACTCTGTGGAGAGTTGTCCCAAGATCCTCACCATCTTTACTCCCTCAGCTTCAGCTTCAGTGCCAGTCTGTGCCTGCCTGAACATGTCCTTTTAGGACTCTGGGGCAAAGGCAGAAATTTTAAGATAGCAGGGAGGTAATTTTTGCTGCAGTGAGAGTGGCCTGTAGGCTGGGGACAGAGATGGTGATGGGAGAGGCTGGCAGAGATTAGTTGAAGAATCTCATTCTGAAGCCCTACGGGCCACACACTTGCCTGGGTCTGACACAGTCACTGGTTCAGGTTCCTTCTCAAACCATCACACAAACAGCAGCATTTCCCCTGGGTTTATTTCTGCATGCTTCAGATGAGTTGGATTTTCTCACCCAAAGATTGGCCTCAGGAAAGCTTCTGGACCATTTTCCTATTAGCCCTCCTTGTTAGACTCTCACTGAGGTAGTTTGTAGCTGCAGATGTTCCTGTGCATCGGTTACCAAGGCTTAGGCTACAACTGTTGCAGAAATCCTTAAATCTAGCACAGTGGATCCCCGTGAACATTGCGGATTTGTTCATTTATGTCTCACCTGGTGTAGCACAAGCTGAGGCAGAACTCAAAAAGGCCAACACTGGGGAGGTTTGGATCATATACTGAAATGGGTTTAGCAGCTGCGCAAAGTAGAGTTTTCATTGGTGGTGCCCTTAATAGCTTGCATTACCTTATTTATATGTATATTCTGGAATCTACTGTCTATTAATATGGGTCTCTGCATTTATACGATTAGCTGTATTCTTCTAGGTGTAACAGTGTCTGTGCTGTTAAAACTTGCAGGTTTATCTTCATACAGATTACCAATATTGGTGTAAAATGCTAGCACTTTGATGTACTTACAGCTGATTTCTTGTTCACTGGCTGATCCTGTGGAAATACCTTGTTCCCAGATAAGGTCAGGTAAGTGTGTAGTGTGTAGTTTCTGGGTGTGTTGAGGTGTGCATCGTTGTGTGCTGGATGCATCACTCCCTGGGGGTGTTTCTGTGGGGTGTTTTGAGGCATTCACTCTGCGCGTCACCATGGGGACAAGGGGGGTGGTGGAAAAGAATACAGTTTGTATTTCTTAGTGTTGTGTGATTGTGCTTTCACAGCGCCTCAGAGTGAAGGTGCACGATGAACTACATACCTCTGTCGTGTGTGTTTCTGTGTGACAATAATATGCAGGCACACACACACTCGCACACACAGGCACACGCCCTCCAGGCTCCAGGGCGTGTAGGAGAGAGTGTGTGTGTGTGTGTGTGTGTGTGTGTGTGTGAATGCTATTTAAATAAAAAAGAAAGGAAGTGAATCAGGGTCGTTTCCATTTTAATTGTAAAACAGATAAGCACTAAACACTTTGAAAAAGTAAATGACTTGAGAATAATTACTATCTATTACTCTGCGTCCCAGGGGGGCAGTTGGAGGAGCCCAGATGGCTACAAAAATGGGATTTAGCAGAAAATTGAAGACATTATTCACCGTAACACATTATCAATTACCTTCATATCAATTACAATAACCTTACATTAGAAGAAGGGCCAGGAGACTATCTTCAGCCCCCAGCCTGAATAGTAATTGCACTACCCCTATGGATGGTGTGTGTGGGTGTGTGTGTGTGTGTGTTACAGGGTGGGGGGTACCACAGGGTTGTGCAGGGGTTCCAGCAGCTCCAACTGCTGGGAAGAGAAGAGGAAGGGATAATAACCACTCAAAATAGTTTTTCCTCCTCTCTCTACAGTCACCTCATGGAAGGTTTTCCTCTGTCCTGTTTGTGTGGTCTAATAGCTCGAAGGGCAGCTGATGTGGCTCCTTCCAAGAAATTCTGCTTGGCTTGCCATTTGGGAAGTTTAGAGTCTCTGTGAAGAGACTATTGTTTCGCACCAGTGTCCTCTACTTTCCTCTTCCCCCTCTCAGCCATTTCAGCCAAGCTGCTCACTTTGTTAATAGGGGCTCGTATGCAATCTGATGTTCTTTTCTGTAGGATCTGCCTTTCTTGGTATAGCAATCTGTGCAGGAGGTGGGAACTGCTCCCTCTGCCAGACCCAGATGGGGCAGCAGCTCGTGTTTCCTGTAAACACTCACAGAGAGATCACAGAAGACCTTTGATGGGATATGGAGATGAACCAATCAAAAACAATTTTAACAAGTCTCTTCTCTTCCTTTTCTCCCGGGATGCTGGAAGGTGTCTCAGAGAGGAGCAGTTCCAAGGCTGTTCAGCAGGCTGGTAGCATGAAGGTAGCTCTAAGGACATCGTGTTGCCTGTGGTTGTCTCTCGTTGCCAGCTGGGATAGCTCTTGGAGCTGGTGTTAAGTCAGTGCTTCTGACTGTGGATAGCTAATGCTTCTGGCTTGCCATAATGCTATTCTGAAATTCCACCTCCTGGATCTGGACTTGATCCAACTCACCCAAGTATTTACACATGCAACACCCACATCTAGCTGTCATGGTCCCATTCTCTGCTGCAATCCAAACAGGTTTCACTGCCACGGTGTCCTGGCCTGTGCACAAATGTGTGTGTAAGATAAGGATTTAGACACATCAGGGCATTTATGAGTTAAATTGTTGGTGATATTCCCTCTAGCCTCCCCCCTTCCCAAATATGCAGTGGAGTGTCCAGTGGGTTAGTGCATAGAGGACTAATTGCTATTAAAAGGCTTTAATCTGGGAGATTAGTGTTGGCTCCAGGCAGTGTTTGCACACGAAGGAGATGTTTCCGATGAGATGAACTAGAATTCGTCCCTGCTGTTTTGTTGATAGAAAATCATCTTCCCCTTGGTTTTTTCTCTTTATCTCTGTCTTTCTTGCTTTCTTGCTCTCTCTGATCATTTGCTTTTTCCTATTCCTTGAAGTTAAGCTGAGAGCTTTATTGTATTTTGGAGTGGCAGTCCTGTTTGACCTTTGGGGTTGGTTGTCTTTGCACATATGTACAGACATGCATGTGTATACACAGAGATGTGACTTGACTTTTCTGATTCAGAGTCCTGCAGGAAAACAGATCCTGATCAAGAGAAGTAATGATAAATATATTTTCCCCTTGTTTGCTGTTGAGCCTCTTATGGGTCAAAGAGGGGCCTGCAGAGTCCTTCCTATATCATGAGTCAGGTCAGTCACCTTCTCCTGGGCAAAGGCTTGATCCAGAGACCATCAGAAAAAGGTGTTTCAGAACTGAAAATCTTAAAGCTCCCTGCAGAAGTAATTAGTGGGAGGTAATTAAATGATTACATATGGGAAGGTATGGAGTATTACTGGACCTCTGGCATGACCCAGGAAATGTCACTATTGACTTTGATGAACATTGGATCAAGCTCAGTGGAAATTAATCTGATAACATGCCAGATGTGTCCAGAGAGCCTTTCCATGAAGGGGACCCATTTGACCTAGGAGCACAGAAATCTCTGTGCTGTACTTGCTGAAGGATCCAAAAGCAGAGGTGCTTGTTCTGAATTTATTGTTGTCAGAAATCCATGGGTGTCTCCTAGGTCTGACTATACAGACTCACAATCCCTACTGCTCCTAGGGTACAGCTGGAATTTTCACAGCATCCTCAGGAAGTTAAGTGCCAATTCCCTTTGAAAAGCACAATGGAATAAATACTGGTTATGTGTAACTCTAGTGGAAGGAACTTTGTATCCTAAAGAGAAGGATATGTGAAAACTTCATCAGAACAGGAAGACTGGGGTAGAACCACAACGTTGCATGGTCCTCCTGGCCTAGAGAGTGACCAGACAGAGGCTAGGAAAGAGGAATGGTAGGAAAGAATGAGTCCTCAAATCAATGAGGCTGAGAATCAAGGGGACAGTTGGGTCAGGGGAAGAAAATTGGTTTAAGACCTGGGTCTTACATTCAAAGAAGTCAAGACTTTCCAAGGAGGTAGTGCTTTGCAAAGTGTTACACATCATTCTTCTGAACACCATGGGCTTTGCTCTTTTGCAGGATGCTGCCAGAATCTTCTGTGAGAGTACACTGTCATTATTCACCACAAGTAGGTATTTTGAGGAGGTGTAAGTGAGGGACTGGGAGAAGAGAGGGTGTATCCCGGGGGGCTGTTTGGCTCTCCAAAGGCAGTTGTGAAACCTGTTGCTTGGCAAAGTGGTGTGGTGGTGTGTTCTTTAGGTTTCTTTAAGCATTTGTATCATGGTCCTCCTAGGACAGCTTTGGAGTGGGCTGAAATTTTGTATAAATGTATTTTTCTCTTTCTCACTTCCCCTGCCCAAAAATCCAAACTGTTACTGTTAGCCAGCAGGAAGGCAGACCTACTGCTCATGTAAATTGCTTTAGTTCTGTTTGCCCTTGTTCCCTCAAGATTGCAGATGATGTTGGTGTAACCAGCATAAGGATCTGGCCTCTAGCATGTGTTTGTCCCATCTGCTGTCCAGCATGTTAATTTTCATGGAAGACACAAACTTGCACAGACTGTGATTTTAGGGAGGGGCCCTTTTTCTTTTCATGAACCAACTGCAAAGCCTCAGGGGCCAGATTCTGAAAGGCAGACAGTGCCAAGATCTGGAGGGACTGGGAACTCAGGTCCTGGCAACTTCTAACTTGTGGTCCAGTATTGACAACAGCATAAGGAAAGAAACAAGTGTTAGGCATTTCTGTAAAAACAGTGATGATACAACTTTTTTTTCAGTATCAACATTATTGGGAGGAAGGGCCAGACTTGCAAAAAAGCTCTCAGTTGAAATAGGGCCTGAAAAATCCTCAAGAGGGCTAGAAATAGTGAAACAGGGAGCTTATTTCCACTGCAGTTGACAACCAAAGTAAAAAATAATGATTCATTAAAAAAAAATTAAAAAAAAAAAACAAAACCCAAAGCAAACAAACAAACAAACAAACAAACAAAAAACCCAACAAAAAACACACACAAAAAATACCAACAAAAACAAGTAACAGGTAGGAGAGAAGGAATTTGTTTTTTCTTTGGGTGATCCTCTTTAGTTCTTCTATTTCAATAGGAGCAGAAGTATGTCAGGTGATGGCTCAAGTGATTGTTCCAAGTTTTTGGTGCTGCAGATTTTTTACAAATACTAATAGACAAGCTTCTTAACACGCCCAGTGCTCCTGCTAGTCTTGTGCTTTGGTGCAAGATTTGAAGTACATGAGATTTTCTAAATTGTCAGGCATGAATTTATAAAAAAAAAAAAAGAGAAAGAAAAAAAAGTAAAATGGCCAAACCAAAAATATGAAGTATTTTGAAAGTGTCCCAAACCCAAGAATATAGAGTCCACCCTGAATATTGTTTATTTTTCTATAATGTTTGTTAGGATACATTTCTTAATTATTATTGGTCATATGCAAGTGGCTTACTGTGCATTTGGGTAGTAGTGTTAGTAACTCTTGTTTTTATTAGATGTTTCATGAAGTTTCTGAAGTTCTTAGAATCAGGTAAGCATATGACAATATCAGTCATCCATTCAGTTTGTAATCTTGTCAATGTTTCTTTGTCCAAGCTGAGCATTAAATCATAATAAATACTAAAATGTTTTAAGCTTTCAAGTCAGAAGGTACTCAGAATCTATGATATAATTAATTATTTTAATGAATTCCAGTGAAACTTTTAGTTTTAGCAGATATGGCACACCATTTTTAATGGCTTATGTTGGAAATATCACAGGTTTCTGGTCACCTATAAATGCTCACAAAAGTGGATGATGATTATTATTATTATTATTATTATTATTATTATTATTATTATTATTATTATTATTATTATTATTATTATTATTATTATTATTATTATTATTATCATCTCACGGTGTGATTGGAATCCCAGGGGGTCTGCATCCAGGGCAGCTGGAAGGAGTTGGCCACTTGGTGTTTGGAGAAGTATTTAGAGCTCTCCATGTGTTGAACCTCTTCAACCTTACTGCTAAAACTTCCACTTGACTTCAGAGAAGTTTGTGTCCCACACCACATCCAGGAGTGCAGGTCCAGTCACGTACATGTCTTGCACAGAAGTGCCCCTCAGAAGCATGGGAAGTGCATTTTTGGGGAGGAGACTGAGCTGATGTGTGGAGTAATCATGAGAAATGGTGACTGGTGCAGGATGAGACTGGGCACAAGAGACTTAGAAGGGGCATGGGAGAGATAGATAAAACACCATTGCACTGAGTTAGAAAAAGAAAAGACTGACACAGGCATTGGAATTGGAGAGCTCCATGGACACAAGGCAGCAGGGAGCTCACTCAGCAACCAGCTAATCCCTTTTCTCCAAGCTGCAGCTAGCCAAGGGTGTAGCTGCCTCTTCTAACCTACCAGTGGCCTTAAAAATTTTGAGGAAACCTAAATTAAACCTGGCCCCCGATGGGTGTTCTGCCTTCCCAAATCCAATTAGCCAATCATGACTTTTCACTTAGCTGCAGTGACTTTAATTGGATCAGAATAACAAAGGAAGGATAGAAAATTACAGGAATTAGCATGCAGAGTGGAGCCCTGCAGCAAGGATCATCATGATCTCTAGCCCTGTAGAGACGATAGAGTTCATCAGAGGTATAAAAACTCCATGAACAGTCCACAATAATATGTATGAAGTTTTTTCATCTTTTTATAAGCTGCAAGCATCCATATGGAAAGCTGTAATAGGTGTGATGGTCCAGCCTGTTATTCTCCTGTGTGTGTACTCTAGCCAGCAAAATTTGGCTGCATGTAATACCTCCTTTGCACTTGGTGGTGTGAAAAGGCTTTTGCACAAGTGAAAGGCCTGTGAATGAAAGGTCTCCAAGTTTCTAAAGCTGAGCACAAGCTTAGAGCTATGCAGAGCTGAGGCCTTTGAACAGCAGACTTTCTTTTAATTTTTTTTTACTGTCATTCAAGGGTGCAGGGGCTGTAGTGAAACACAACAGCTCTGAAATGTGCATTCCTCTCATGTTACTGGGCCTAGGGTAGCACCACCAGATGAAATTTAAAAGCCAGATTCCAGTGTTTTAAGACAATGACAATGCATTAGCACCAGCACAAGACTTGGCACTGACAGACATGATCTAGCAATGCTACTAATAAGAGCTAAACTTCTTCAGAACAGATGTGTCATTGGCTTGCTCACAGGGATGTGGGAAACAGGGATATGGCTGACACCTCCAACATTTTTTGAGCATAATTTGGAATGAGATTTTGGAGATCAAAACATGCATTAAAAGATACCAGCTTAGTGATTTCTCTTTTCTTCTGCATTTTACTTGTCAGGATTGGTGCTGACTAGTATATATGATGAATATAGTGCCAAGCAAAACTCGGAAAATCCATGAGGAAAACAGCAACTATTTTCCTGCTTTCTATACAACTTAAGGGACCTCCCTTCTACCAGGGCAAATTGCATCATGGGGGCCACACTCTGTGCATGCTCATGCTACTCCATATCCAAGGGATGCCTTGCAGCCTCAGTGAATGTTGATCTGGATTTAACCGACATAGCAGGGATCAGATTTTTGCCCACTGGGAGCTGTCAATGAATGCAAAGTGTGACGTAG